ACACACACTGGTTTCCTGGCCCACCACAGTAGACCGTGAGCATCCTCTCCTTCCCACCACTGCCATGCCAGCAGATTGGGGTAGGGGCTCACTCTGGCTTTCTTTTCCTGCCCATTCCTGGACAGTTTGTCACCTTCCTGTTCTCCAAAGAGAACAGTGTGTGGAACTCACAGCTGGATGCAGTGTGCCCAGAAACCATGAACAACCCCCTCTCCCACTACTGGATCTCCTCCTCCCACAACACGTGAGTGCCTCCCTTGGGCCCCACCTGGCCCACCCTTGGGAGGGAGGCATTCACCCAACCACGCTTGCCTCTCCTTCCCTGTCCAGGTACCTGACCGGGGACCAGTTCTCCAGCGAGTCCTCCCTGGAAGCCTACGCTCGCTGCCTGCGGATGGGCTGTCGCTGCATTGAGTGTGCGTGAGGGCCAGGGCTGGGGGAGGAGGTTGGGGGGGCCTGCCCTCTTGACTGTGGTTATGTTGCTCCCCAGTGGACTGCTGGGATGGCCCAGATGGGATGCCAGTCATTTACCATGGACACACCCTTACCACCAAGATCAAGTTCTCAGACGTCCTGCACACTATCAAGGAGCACGCCTTTGTGGCCTCAGAGTGAGTGGGAGAGAAGGGAGGAGGGCTGGGGTCAGCTTGGCTCCAGCTCTGTCCTGTGACAGAGGGTCCCCTCCAGTGCCCTGTCCCCATGCCCCATTTTTCTTTCGTCCTCTTGCCGTTTGCTTGACCCATTCTTCCTAAGCCCCTCCCTGTTTCTTACATCCATGGTCCACCCTCTTCAATGGTTTTTCTCTAGCCTGTGGAGCAAACTAAAGCTCTACCCGTCCGCAAAAAACACTTCCTTAACCCCAGTGGTCTCTTTAGGCCATTGTCCGACCAACCCCTTTCCCTTCACAGCCCAGAGAGTTGTCCACATCCCTACCTGCTGTCCTGCAATTCCTGTTCACCCCTACCTGTGCTCACTAGTCTCTCATGCCTCACTGAAGGGATCATCGGGGGCTCCAGCAACTAACTGGAGGGTGATTCCTGTCTCTCCTTACCTTCTTGGTGTGGGATGTCTCTTGCACTGCTGGGAGAGCCCCCATAGCTGGACCAACTCTGGGGACCTCTGTCTGCAGGGGTTCCACCCCTTTGTTCCTGTTGCACCCTTTGGTGCCCCTGTGGAACCTTCTTAACCCTTCCAGCAACCAAGGCCAGCATCTTCTCTGGGTAGCTTTCTTACAGACAGGGCCTCCAGGGCCTTGGTCCCTAACACCTCCTTCTCTGAGAGGGTGTTTGGACTAAGCATTGATCCCTCAGAATTATAAGGCCTCTGTCACTGCACTGGCTCCTTACCCTTTAGGTACCCGGTCATCCTGTCCATTGAGGACCATTGCAGCATTGCCCAGCAGAGGAACATGGCACAGTACTTCAAGAAGGTGCTTGGGGACACACTCCTTACCAAGCCTGTGGACATCGCTGCCGATGGACTCCCCTCACCCAACCAGCTCAAGAGGAAGATCCTTATCAAGGTAGGGGTGAGCCCCCCACACTTCCCAGCACCTCTCCCAGGCCATTGCAGCCTGGGTGAGGAGGAGGGACGCTGGGACTAGGGGGCACTGCCATGTCCTGGCCTGTCCCCATAGCACAAGAAGCTGGCAGAGGGCAGTGCCTATGAAGAGGTGCCTACATCAGTGATGTACTCCGAGAACGATATCAGCAACTCCATCAAGAATGGCATCCTCTACCTGGAGGACCCTGTGAACCACGTGAGGGCCAGGCCAGGCCAAGCATGGGGAGGGGCACCGCGGGAGGAGGGCTCCGTTCATGGGCCCCACTTCTGTCTTCTAGGAGTGGTATCCCCACTACTTCGTCCTGACCAGCAGCAAAATCTACTACTCTGAGGAGACGAGCAGTGACCAGGGCAACGAGGATGAGGAGGAGCCCAAGGAGGTGAGGGGCCAGCCCAGGGCTGGGGGCTGGGCTGGGGTCAGAGTCACTGAGTGTCTTTGCTGTTGCCCTCCCCCCACAGGCCAGTGGCAGCACAGAGCTGCACTCCAGTGAGAAATGGTTCCACGGGAAGCTCGGGGCAGGACGGGATGGGCGGCACATCGCTGAGCGCCTGCTTACCGAGTACTGCATCGAGACCGGGGCCCCTGATGGCTCCTTCCTCGTGCGAGAGAGCGAGACCTTCGTGGGCGACTATACCCTCTCTTTCTGGTAACCCACTCCTGGCGTGTGTATACTCTTGATGCGGCACCTCCCAGAGACCACCACGGTCCGTAGTTGGTCTCTGTCACAGGCTCTCCCATGGAACGTGATCTCATCACATGCATGCACACACATATACTTTTCAGGGTGCTTTGGAGCCCTCCTGCAGGGCCACCCACACCCGAACAACTTAGGTACCTCGCTTGGGCCTGGCCTGCTCCTCACTGCCTCCCTGTCTTCCCTCAGGCGGAATGGGAAAGTCCAGCACTGCCGGATCCACTCTCGGCAGGACGCTGGGGCCCCCAAGTTCTTCTTGACAGACAACCTGGTCTTTGACTCGCTCTATGACCTCATCACACACTACCAGCAGGTGCCCCTACGCTGCAACGAATTTGAGATGCGCCTCTCAGAGCCAGTCCCGCAGACCAATGCCCACGAGAGCAAAGAGTGAGGGAGGGGCCGAGGGCTGGGTGGGGGACGTGAGAGGTGATGGCCAGGGCTTGACTTGGGCCTATCTTCAGGTGGTACCATGCCAGCCTGACCAGAGCTCAGGCCGAGCACATGCTGATGCGCGTCCCCCGGGATGGGGCCTTCCTGGTGAGGAAACGGAATGAGCCCAACTCCTACGCCATCTCCTTCCGGTGAGGGGTGTGGCCTCGGGGTACTGTAGGTGGTGTGGGGTTATGCCTGAGTCTGGGCTGCCCTGACCCTGTGTGGCTGTTGTGTTAAGGGCTGAGGGCAAGATCAAGCATTGCCGCGTCCAGCAGGAGGGCCAGACGGTGGTCCTGGGCAACTCAGAGTTCGACAGCCTCGTGGACCTCATCAGCTACTATGAGAAGCACCCACTGTACCGCAAGATGAAGCTGCGCTATCCCATCAACGAGGAGGCGCTGGAGAAGATCGGCACAGCTGTGAGGGCCCAGTGCTTGAGGGGGCGTGGTGGACAGGGTGACCCTGGGCTAGCTGCTGGGCAGTGGCAGGACAGTCGGTATGTGGGACACAGAAGCCAGGGATGTTGTAGGAGCTCCTGGGAGGGTCACTCTGCCCAGCTAGGGGCCATGGTGTGGGTGCCGGGACGGTGTCCCAGAGGGAATGTCCTCCACAAGAACGTGTCTGCGAGGATGGGCACGCATTAGGTGAAGGCATTCGAGCAGAGAGCCCCCGCGAGCCGGGGTGTGGGGTAAGGCGGTCCAGGAGCTCATGCAGGGAAAGGTAGGCCCAAGGCCAGAAGCTTACTCAGGAGGTGTGAACTGGACTGTCGCCAGGGCAGGGGAGTTGGCTCCAGGAGGCAGAGGCATGAGGGTGAGGCATGTGAGGTAGAAGGCTACACAGACAGAGAGGGCTCAGGACTTGGACTGATGGGGACTAGGGCGGGAGGTCTGCTTGAGACTTGGCATTGGTGAGCACAGGTGACCAGAGGACTGTGCACACTGGGGCCTGGGGCTGGGCTGATGGATAGGCAGCGTGGGGTGGGGGGCGCCCTGTGGGGAGTGAGCGAGCCATTAAGCAAGAATGTCGGGCAGCACCTTGGGCCTTCAGGAACAGAGAGGTTTCGGAATCACGGGGTGGGCCTCAAGGGTTAAGAACTTGGGAGAGAGGGAAGGGCAAAGCTGTGCTGCTAAGGTCCAAGATGCTGGTGGACCAGGTGCCAGGGGAGGGGGCAGACTTGGCTTGGAGAGGAAGGCCATGTGGAGGCCTGCCTCACCGACTGAGGGGCACAGGGAAGCCAGCAGCCCCTGTTCTCTCTGGGTGTTAACGTCTGCCATTCGGTCCTGTTTCCAGGAGCCAGACTACGGGGCCCTGTATGAGGGCCGCAACCCAGGCTTCTATGTGGAGGCGAATCCTATGCCGACTTTCAAGGTACGACCTCGGGTGTCCGGGCACAGGAAGCTAGAGAGGCTCCTGGCTGCTCTGGGCTTGTATTTCTCTGCTGGGGGTGGAGGGGTGCATCTGTGGTCGTTGTGGAGAAGTGGTGTTTGTGGTTTTCCGAGTCCTTAGAGCTTGTGAGAGATGTGTGGTTGGTGTCTGACCACAGCTCTCCTGGGGCTGACCCCCTCCCAGTCCCTGTCCCTAGGGGTCAACACTGACCCCTCCAAACTGCTCCTCAGGGTAAGTCTCATTTACTTTCTGGGTGGCAGCAGGGCGGGGGTCGGCCACAAGGGCCAGAAACTTTGTTCTTTGCTGCTCACTCCCTTATCTCGTGCAGATCCCTCGGAAAGGACCTTTCTCTCTCTGCTTTTTTCTCTAAGGAGTAAGGAGTTGTGTTTTGTCCCTCAGCAGCCAGGGAGCCTGGGACAAGGTTTTTTCTCCTACTTTCCAGATGAGGAATGATGGGATCCCAGTCATGCCCATAGGCTTTCAGGTCCTGGGGGAGGCACCCAGGGCACCTACAGACACTCCTAGCCTGTGAGCCCTGGCTTCTGGGGGAGATTCAAGAATCTCCCTGTGGCCCGGGCTGAGGGGCTTGCAATGTTCCACCTGGACCCTGAGGAGCTTCCGTGGCAGAGGCCCTGGGTCACATGTGTCCTGGAGCCTCCTGTAGGGCTGATGGCGAGGACTATGCTGGGTGGGCTGCCCCACGTCAGCAGAGTGGCGAGGATAGACTGCCTGCTCTAACCAGTGTCTCCCTCTCTGCAGTGTGCAGTCAAAGCACTCTTTGACTACAAGGCCCAGAGAGAGGATGAGCTGACTTTCACTAAGAGCGCCATCATCCAGAACGTGGAGAAGCAAGAAGGTGGCTGGTGAGCCTGGTCCCCAGAGCCAAAGCCTCTGGCATGTGTGGCAGGCTGGGAGGCGGGGGCCCCCCTGTGCACCTGCCACTGTGCTGTCGTGGTGTGTCTGTCCCACATACCTGCGCACCAGCGTTGCTCCTGCAGCCTGGTGTAGGTGCAGGGACTCTGACAAGGGATACCCTCCTTGTGGGAGTTTGGAGTGGTTGCTGGGGTCAGCACCCTGTGGCTTCCACAGGTGGCGGGGGGACTATGGTGGGAAGAAGCAGCTGTGGTTCCCGTCAAACTACGTGGAAGAGATGGTCAGCCCCGCAGCCCTGGAGCCTGAGAGGGAGGTGAGAGCAGAGCCATGTTGGTGCGACAGAATCCCCGTCCCCAGACTCTTCTTGTGCATATGCCCATCACACACAGTGTCGGGTGTACCTGTGCATGCACAGCCACCAGTCACCTGCGGTCCTGTCACACCCCTGTGGGGTCCGCAGTTTCCAATACACCTGCTGTGTTTGTGTTGTCATGGGTGTGTGCCTAAGGTGTGTTTGTTGCACGCACACAGACATCTCCTCCCATGCATCTATATAAAGCAGATGTGCTGACGACCCATGGGCTTTGCTTTCCACAGCACTTGGACGAGAACAGCCCCTTGGGGGATTTGCTCCGGGGGGTCTTGGATGTGCCAGCTTGTCAGATTGGTGAGCCCCCGCCCCTTTCTCCAGCCCACGGTTCTTCAGGGTCAGGCTCTCCTTTGTGGCTCCCTTTGTGTTCTGTGGGAAGAAGCCAGTGACTGGGCTCCCAAAGGCTGTCCTCACTCTGAGCTCTCCCTGTGCTTGGATACTCTCTTGACACCCCAGTCTCGATTCTTCACCTCCAGCTCTGACCCCCTGCATGCTTGCCCTGAGCCAGGCACTGGGTGATGCGGAAGGCTAGCTGACCTCCACAGTCCTTGTAGGTTGGGCCACAGTGTGACGGGACCTTGGAGACAGGGTGGGGCACGTGACCCGCACGAGACCGGGGTTTGAGCCCTGGTCGCCTCTCCTGGCAGCGCAGCATCACCTCCCTCACACCCCGTGGGGTGGAGGGCAGGTGGTGAGGGGCTCCGAGCCAGTGCCTGGGCTGTAGTGTGGGGGACGGGGACGTCTTTCCAAACGCTGTTTCTCTTGCTCTCCCAGCCATCCGTCCCGAGGGCAAGAACAACCGGCTGTTCGTCTTCTCCATCAGTATGGCTTCCGTGGCGCACTGGTCCCTGGATGTCGCTGCTGACTCACAAGAGGAGCTGCAGGACTGGGTGAAGAAGATCCGAGAAGTGGCCCAGACGGCAGACGCCAGGGTAAGGGGCATCTGTGGGGTGCAGGTGGGCAGCATGTGAACCTGTTGGGGGTGAGGCCTGCAGCACCAGGCCTGCCTCTAGGCTGGGACCTGGAGGAAACCACACATACACACACACACACACACACACACACACACACACACACACACACACAGAAGGCCATGTGGCTCATTTAGGACAGAGATGGATAGCGGCCGTGGGCCGCCCTGTGGATCTGCATGGTCGGCAGTTGGACACACAGGGGCCGAGCAAGAGCAGTCTTGTGCTGGAAGCAGGAGCGGGTGCCCAGAGGCTTGGGAGGAATGGGTGGTGTGGAGTGGGGAGAGGGTTTAACTTTGGAGGGTGTTGGTGGCAGGGGGAGCCCAGAAGGGCAGGGCCGAGAGGCTGGCGGTGGACAGGGGTGGATGGTATCTGATGTGTGAGGGCTGCAGAGGTACCAATGGGCACGATAACCTGAAAGTGCCCGGGGTTTTGGCAGCAGCAAATGGCCCCAGGGTCACTACTAGGAACCATGGTGGTGGGTCTCCACAGGGCTAGAGCTGGGGCCAGCTTTCACGCTTGGCTGTAGGAGGAGCCAGCAGAGAGGAGGGAGGCCACTTCCGCTGAGCCTGGGGGAGCGGAGGGAAGGATGTATTCACAGGGGTTAAGGGAATTCTGTGTGATGGCCATTCCCCAGGTAGTTGGTGTGGGTGGAGGGCGACAAGGCAGGTCTGTGGCTGCTTTGGAGGATGGGTGCCTGTGAGCCGCACAGAGAACAGAAGGTGCTGAGGATTTTATTGGCAGACTGGCTGGTTGAGGGGATGGAATTCTGGGGTCTGGGCTGGAAGAGGAAGTAAGAATGTGAGTGTAGGAGCCCTTGATGGAAGAAAGTGGGCCTCCGGAGCTATGAGGACAGGACGGGATGCGCTTGTGAGCGGCCACGGTAGGTAGGTGGCTGTGTCGGGCAGGGGGGCATCTGAGGGTGTGAAGCCATTAGGCCCGCAAGGTGGGAGGAGTCTCCTCAGCACCGAGACCTGAGACCAAGCCAGAGACCTGAGTCCCCACTGAAGTCACAGGAGGCTGCCTTGCTTAAGGGAGGCTGGGTACCCGATGGTCACAAAGCATCACCAAAGAGTGCAGCCAACCCCAGGACCCTGAGCTGTCACTGGGGTGTGGGTGATGAGGACATCAGCCTCTAAGAGTCTTAGGAGGGCAAGTGTGGCCTTGGGGGCAGAGAAAAGGAAGGAGGATTCTGGGGTGTACTGTCCAGTGGGGTGTGGGAGATTCGGAGGACAGGGCAGGGCCCAGAGAGCACCTGCACTGTGGGTATGCCTAAGCTGGCAGGGGCATCCTTCCGGGTGGGGCATCAGGCCATGTGTGTGTGTCACCAGCTCACGGAGGGCAAGATGATGGAGCGGAGGAAGAAGATCGCCCTGGAGCTCTCCGAGCTGGTTGTCTACTGTCGGCCTGTTCCCTTTGATGAAGAGAGTAAGGGCCGAGGGCTGGTGGGGGTGTGTTTGGGCGCCCTCCCTGGCAGGTGGAAGACGTACATTTCGTCCCTTTGTATGGGGGGTGGGGGAGCTGCCCGGGGTGGGTGGGCTCTGTAAGCATTCTCCCTGTTTGGCCCAGAGATTGGCACAGAACGTGCCTGCTACCGGGACATGTCGTCCTTCCCGGAAACCAAGGCTGAGAAATACGTGAACAAGGCCAAAGGCAAGAAGTTTCTCCAGTATAACCGGCTGCAGCTCTCCCGCATCTACCCCAAGGGCCAGCGGCTGGACTCCTCCAATTACGACCCCTTGCCCATGTGGATCTGTGGCAGTCAGCTCGTGGCTCTCAACTTCCAGACCCCAGGTGAGAAGGTGCCCCATGGGGTGGGGAGGGGCACCATCGGGCCAGAGTCCACTGTAACTCGGCTCTTTCAGACAAGCCTATGCAGATGAACCAGGCCCTCTTCATGGCCGGTGGCCACTGTGGCTACGTGCTGCAGCCGAGCACCATGCGGGATGAGGCCTTTGATCCCTTTGACAAGAGCAGCCTCCGAGGCCTGGAGCCATATGCCATCTGCATCGAGGTGGGTGGCACTCGCCTGTGGGCTTTAGGGTGGGCAGGGGTTGCTCTTCTGGGGCTCGTTTCTGGAGTCAGGGATGGGGTGCCAGTTTGTGTGACTGGTGGGGGGCACCGAACTGGCTCCTGAGCGTGAGGAAGGTGTGACCGTCCTCTGAGATAGGAAGGCAGCTGCAAGTCTCCACCGTGGGGCTGGGCCCAGAGTGGCGAAAGCCCGAGGCAGGTAGGCTAAATGTAGCCAGTTCTTGGCACTGAAGAGTCAGGCTGTCCAGTGAGGCCATGGGTAGCCGCTGCCTGGCAGGACAGGAAACCAGGGCCCGTGGTGAGCTATCCGCAGGAGCCAGCGGGACGGCACTTACTGGAATGGGGCTTGAGGGAGAGTGACCCCCATCCCCAGCTCTCTTTTAGAACAGTCCCCGAGGGGCGCCTGGGTGGCGCAGTCGGTTAAGCGTCCGACTTCAGCCAGGTCACGATCTCGCGGTCCGTGAGTTCGAGCCCCGCGTCGGGCTCTGGGCTGATGGCTCAGAGCCTGGAGCCTGTTTCCGATTCTGTGTCTCCCTCTCTCTCTGCCCCTCCCCCGTTCATGCTCTGTCTCTCTCTGTCCCAAAAATAAATAAAAACGTTGAAA